ACCATTAGACCTCTGTAAAAAGGCTATTCGTGAGGATGGGAAGAAGATTATCGACGAAAACTTTATCCGGACTGTAAAGAACGTGATTGAGAGTCACCAATTTCACACTATATCTCATAAATACCTGCAGTTTTTGGTTTTAAAACAAAAAAAAGAATATTCTTTACTTGTTAAATAGATTTTAAGCTTGACGAGAAATGTTGTTTGGATGTTGAGTAGATAAGGTAACTCAAACTGTACAGGTACTGTTGGGAAAATGTTGAGAAAATGAAAACTCAATCACATATTTTTTTATAATGCCTTTGACGTCGAAGATTTTGCTGCTCCGTGATTTAATGATATGTCCTGAAAAATCAGTCAAAATTGATACCAATTCACAACATTTTGATATGAAATTTTGAAGACCATATAAGTAAAGATTCTTTTATATTATGTAAGACATTTTTTCCGATTATGTCGTCAAATATTTTTTCTGTGCAACAAGTCCGCGTAATTTTTGAACGACCCTCGTATATTTATCCTGAGATTAGAACCTATTTAGATGAGCAGAAGGTTGAGACTCTTGAGCAAGCTTCAACTGCGGTTGATGATTATGCACTAACACATAAGGTATCTTTTGTGAAACTCAGTACTAGTCACCAGAAGATGACCACATATGACAGTTCTCGAGGGGGACCAGACACTTCACAGGTAACTCAACCTAAGGTAGCTTACTTTGAGATCAAAGGTAAGGACAAGAATAATGAAACCTTAAAGCAGGTACCCATTTGTAATTATTGTAAAAAGAAGGGTCACATTTAGTCTGAATGTTGGGCATTACAGAGGAAAAAACCTGTAAGTAATGATGGTAAGCCTAGTCCCACTGCTCTTACATCTGTCCAAGGTAAGGTTTCCTGTAGTCAGTTTGAGAACACTGCTGTTAAGCCAGAGTCTGATGTTCTTAGAGAGGAATTTAAGCCTTTTGTATTTAATGGTTTAGTGTCGGTGGGTACCGACTATAAGAATTTTAAGGGATACCGGTGCTTCTCAGTCTTTGTTACTGGAGGGCGTGTTGCCACTGTCTGAGAAGACACATACTGGTTCTGAAGTGTTGATACAGGGTGTAGAATTAGGACTTGTTAAAGTTCCTCTTCATGTTATAGACTTGAAGTCAGATTTAGTCTCTCGGTCTGTGGTCGTAGGTGTTAGACCTACTTTACCTGTTAAGGGAGTTTCTCTCCTGTTAGGAAATGATTTAGCTGGGGGTAGGGTGGTACCTGACCCAATAATTTGTGAGAAGCCTAATCTTATAGGAGAGGTAGAGGAGGAGAATAAAAGTTATTTCCTTCATGTGCTATTACAAGGGCTATGGCTGAGAAACTAGAACATGCTGAACAGACGGTAAGTCAGAAGTTAGATACAGGGAAGGACTTGTCTGTAGATCTTGATGAGACATTTTTGTCAGCTATGTTAGATTCAGAAAGTCACATTCCTTCAGAGGATCAGCAGTTTAAAGGTGATGTATTTGCTTCACAGGAAATGTCAGACAACACACCTCTTACTAGAGATTAGTTGATATCCGAACAAGAGTCGGGTGTTGAATTGCAAGGTCTCATTGAACAGGCTTTGTCTCAAGAGGAGGCAGAGAAGGTCCCTGTTTGTTATTATAAGAATCAGGGTGTGCTAATGAGAAAATAGCGTCCCCCTGATGCTTCAGTAGAGGATGAGTGGCAAATCCACTATCAAATTGTAGTGCCTAGAGTATATCGGAGAACAGTCATAGGGCTTGCCTATGATACACCCATGTCGGGTCATTTGTTGTCATTTGTCGTTGTTGGTAACGGCCATGTAAGACCAGTTTTTGCTTAAGTTGAGGCAATTGTAAATTTTCCTGCACCTTAATGTAAGAAATAACTGATGAGATTCTTGGGAATGGCGGGGTACTTTATAAAATTTTGCCCAACTTTTCGACCATTGCTAACCCATTTACCTGTCTCTTGAAGAAGAATAGCAAATGATATTGGAATGAATCATGCCAGCAGGCTTACCAGCAAATCAAAACAATTCTCATGGTCTCTCCAGTTCTTTCATCACCAGATCTTGATAAAGAATTTTTGTTGCAAATTGATGCTAGTGATGTGGGTTTTGGGGCAGTTTTGTTACAAGAAGATGAAAATTATGTTTGTCATCCTGTTGCGTATTTTTCCAGAAAATTTTCAAAATTTCAGAGAAATTATTCCACTGTAGAAAAAGAGTGTTTGTCTATGTTATTAGCATTGCAACATGTTGATGTGTATGTGAATTCATCTGTTCACCCAGTTGTTGTTTTTACTGACCACAATCCACTCACATTTGTTCACAAAATGAAAAACAAAAATCAGAGGTTAATGAGATGGAGTTTGGAATTACAAGAAAAATATTGTCATAAAGCATATGAAAGGAAAAGAGAATTTGATTGCAGATGCATTGTCCAGAGAGTTGATTAGAATGTTAATGTCTTGAAATGTACGTAAATTTTGTAAAATTATATTGTTTCATTGTAATTGTAAAAGTTTTCATTATACTCAAACTTTTCTTTAAGGGGGGGGGGGTGTTACGATACTCTAAAATTATAAATAGACATTGCGTCACTAGTCATTTTTGCCGTACCATTCGGAAGTTCTCGGGTGTCGCCACTACAGGAACAAAGAGGAACAGTTGCACGCGCGCACGCGATCGTCTGCCAGGACGCAGATTCAGCAGATTCGGGACGATAGAATGGTGGACGGTACTGGACGTACTTTGTTATTCGGCCCATGATGTTTATATTACCGTGAAAGTACATATTTAGGAATCGCCGTCCATAGTGTTTGATGTTCTCGGAGTGGTGTAATTCGTTGTGGACTGGAGGACACTCGTGAAATGAACAGCTGAGTAAACGTTGTCTGAATTTGTTTATTTTGTCAATTTGTGTGTAACTGTAACTGTTTGTTTGTTTAATATTATTATTTGTTTTTATCATTAAAATTTGTTAAAGTTTTAATTCGTTTTGGCTGGTGTGTTCTTGTAAGTGTGTCACAGCGAGCTATTAATAGATTTGTGTATTCGGCACACGTTACAATATATATGTAATATGTTTTACTTATTTGCGTAAAACATGAGAAAAAATATACGGAACATTCGATTATATCCAAGATTTTTTCAAAATATGGTGATGCTTGAAAATCCGATTTCAATTGAAAGTATCTTCGACTCCTCCCCCCCCCCCCTTATTTCAAGAGTTGGAATAAGGGATAATGTACTATTTAGCACAGGTATTAAGATAATGAATCAATTACCATTGAACTCTTTTTTGTATTAAACAAAGATGTTATGGCTAAATTGCCACTAATATTGAATAAAATGGTCGCAAAATTTAGGTGGGAATTGAGAGTGCGTAGTTCTTTATATACCATTGTGACCCTGAGCTTTGACCTTTGTCCATATAGGCACACATTCATATAATGCTAGTTATTGTTGACCAGAACTCTTATTTTGTTTCTTCATTTGTTGTTAAAAACACAAGTACGTATTAGTCATGACACAGAAAAAAATGTTGTTTAGTTTCCTTAAATATCTATCTAAAACTGCCATTTTATAATGAATTTTAGTCACATACATCAATATAGGAATATATGTCAAGTTTCATAAAAATCCAAGATGTGTGCCACACTCCCTATATAAGAGTTTAAATGCTTACAGAGAATGGCTAATAATTATCAAAGACCGCCCTAGCTCCAGAACCCCTAACCCAGGGAACCTGAAATTCACTATTATTGCAATATTACATTTGCCATTTAATAATCATGGAAAATTAATTCAACAATTTAAAATCACTAACTGGAAAAGACACTGTTCATGTAGTTTATTCCTTCCCCATCTGAAACTATTCATTGACAATTATTTAAAACTTTTATCATGATCCTTGCTATCCTAAGGAATGTTTCTTTTATTATTATAATAAATTTCAATCCATTTATTATAATAAAAAAAAAAATAATTATGGGTTATGAAAAAGAAATTCAATTGGCTTAATGCCACACACACACCTTCATAACTGAAATCTGATCTGTGCCATATTTTAACAGACATCTTTATTCATGTATAAAAATTAACTATAAACAGGTACGGGTATTTAAATCATTTGACAAAGAATAAAAATCAAGACAGATACATGTTCCTAAACTAGGAAGTAATGTCATCTTGCAGGAGCCATGTAAGATTTAAGGTAAGGGTAAGACATGAAAAATAAAGCTGTTTTTACCTTGTTATTAAGTACTAAAGTACAAATTGTATTTTCAGTTATGTGAATGAGTGAGTTATTGTTCTGTTCAAGAACGTAAAACATCATGGATAGCTTGTCTGAGACTTTAATATAAGAAAAAGAATTCAGGACATTGAATTAGGACATTGATGTGTCTGAAAATTACATTTTCTCAATAAATAATTATCTTAATTTCAACCAAAATTTTTTAGTCACAATCTCTTCCCATCATTCAATTGTAAAAACTATTATTTCAAGGAATTGTTTGTATCAGTTAATCATTATAGTAAGTGTTATTATAATTGCCACTGTATTATACTGTCTTTGTTACTCCTCTATGTTTATTACAGTGTCACCTGGTCAGGTAACCAAGCATCAGTAATGGACCCTCTGGACAGAGCTCAAGTACTCCTCCTCTGTGACCTGTGTCAAAAAGCTGTACTACAAAGTCATTGTGAACTTTGTCAGATTAACATGTGTAAGGCCTGTGTAGGGGAGCATCTCTCTGATTCATCTAAAAGACATAAGGTTGTACCATACAAGCACAGAAAATCTGCTACTTATAACTATCCAAAATGTCCAAACCATACCCAGAACCACTGTGAACTTTACTGTGAGCAATGTGACATTCCTGTCTGTTCTACCTGTACCTCCACAGGTAAACATAAAAAACATCATTTATTAGATGTTTTACAAAAAATCAGTGCCAAAACAAAAGTCATGGAAAAAGAATTAAAAGAACTTGAGATTAGAATTTTCCCAAAATATGAAAAAATTGCATCAGGCATAAAAACGAAGAAGGAAATCTTGGAAACACACTACAGTCAATTAATAACAGCCGTCACTAAACAAGGAGAAGACTGGCACAGAGAAATTAACATAATTGTCAACACATTGAAATCTGAAATTGATGACATGAAATCTATCAGCCTGGCTTCCCTAAATAAAAAGGAAAACGAAATCAAACACATTGCTGCAGAAGTGAATCAGTGCATACTTGATCTGAAAAAAATACTGGGCTCAAATGATATTTCCTTAGACTCTGAATACAAATCAAGGAATGCGGAATTCAGATGTCTACCACCAGACCTCAACGTATCATTACCAAATTTTTCTCCTCATCAGATCAACACAGAACAGTTCCATCACATGCTTGGTTCTCTGTCAGCATTATCCATTACAACAGAAGAAAGCTTTTACACAATCAAACCACTGATTGATGAACCAGAGCTTATCGCCACCATAGACACTGGGCATTTCAGACTATACAGTGTTATCTGTCTCAGTGATAAAGAAATCTGGACAATTGGAAATGACAAAATCATGAAACTCTACAACCTCAAGGGTAAACGACTGAAGTCAGTCAAAACCAAGTCAGGGAACATACCATGTGACATAGCAGTGACAAGGAGTGGAGATCTAGTTTATACTGACCCTGATACAAGAACTGTAAATATTGTGAAGAATAAACAGATACATGAAGTGATCACACTACGGGGGTGGATACCTCGCTATGTCTGTAGTACTTCCTCTGGTGAATTTCTGGTAACCATGGTCAGTGATGATAATAAACAATCAAAAGTTGTCGGTTACTCGGGCTCTATAGAAAAACAAACCATTCAGTATGACAGTGAAGGTAAACCTCTGTATTCATCTAATTACCTTAAATACATTAGTGAGAACAGGAACCTGGATATCTGTGTGGCTTACTATAAAGCCCGTGCTGTAGTGGTGGTTAATCAGGCAGGAAATCTTCGATTCAGATACAATGGTCATCCCTGTACTACCAAGAGATCATTTTACCCATTCAGCATCACAACAGACAGCCATAGTCAGATTCTGACAGCAGACTATTATAACCACTGTATCCACATCATAGACCAGGACGGACAGTTCCTCCGTTACATTGATAAATGTGATCTACGGCTTCCACTTGGTTTATGTGTTGACACCAGAGACAACCTCTTTGTGTCTGAGTATTTCAGTGGTAAAGTGAAAAAAATCAAATACATGTAAACACTGCATTATTTCAAGAAATGACCGTGAATAAGATTAAGTTATGCACTGTGAGTTAAAATTCGTCTGACTTAGGACATATAAATTCCAATTATAAGTAGTACATCCACCTTATAAAATGTTTTGAATGTCTGTTGATTTTAGAGAAAAAAGTTACTATCAAATGTATTAAAATAATGACTATAATTCTTGGCCAAATCATCGAGTATAATCTGGGTTGGGTTAGTTTACTCTTTATAGTTCGCGAAACACATTATAAACAAGAGGTCCATGGGCCACATCGTTAACCTGAGCACTGTAGCTTGGAGAAAAGCATTATTGAAAAGTTTAAACCCAAAAGTGGTCTCAACCAATCCTTAAAGAGGAGAGGGTATGATGTAAACAAACTTAAATCTACACTAACTAAGGATGCTTGCATATTTCTTTGTCTACCTGTGGCTTTATTGCCCTTTACAATTGAAAACTTACATTGTGACCCCACCTACCCCGGGGTCATGACTTGAACAAATTTGAATCTACACTATCTGAGAATGCTTCCATATGCATATGACTAATCATGGCTTCATGCCATTCTTGAAAAAAATATTTCTAAAGATTTTTTCTCCATATTTCTATGTAAAACTTGGATTCCATGTTGTGACTCCGCCCTATCCCCAGGGATCATGATTTGAAAGAACTTGAATCTACACTACCTCAAGATGCTTCCGTATAAATATAACCAATCTTGGCTTTGCTATTCTTGAGAAAATTTTTAAAGAATTCCCTATATATTTCTATGTTTATTTGATCTGCCATTGTGGCCACGTCCCCCCCCCCCCCCCCCCCCCCGGGTCGTGATTTGAACAAACTTGAAACTACAGTACCTGAGGATGCTTCCATATAAATATAATCATTCATGCTATTGCTGTTCTTGAGAAGAAGATTTTTAAAGAATTTCCCTATATATTTCTTTGTAAAATTTTGACCTGCCATTTTGGCCCCGCACTTACCCCAGGAATCATGATTTGAACAAAATTCAATTTGCTCTACCTGAGGATGCTTCACTATAAGTTTCATCTTTCCTGGCTTAGTGGTTTTTGAGAAGAAGATTTTAAAATATACCACCAAACTTTCACTATTTCTGAATTATCTCCCCTTGAATGAGGGCGTGGCCCTTAATTTGAACAAATTTGAATCCCCTTCATCCAAGGTTACTTTGTGCCAAGTTTGGTTGAAATTGGTCCAAATGTTCTAGGGAAGAAGTTTGGTCCGGGTGGGTCTTATAATTACTCGGGAATGAAAATGGAATGGACCTGCTCCAAAAACTTTAACCTGTTCACTAATCTGGAAAACGTAGGTCAGATCAATCATCCGAAGCAAATATGTTAGTGTCCATCTCTAGATACATCATCTTGCAAGTTTGGTCTTGGTAGGGCTTATAGCTTCTTGGGAATGGACCTGCTCCAAAAACTCTAACGTGGTCACTCCTCTGAAAAACGTAGATCAGATCCAGCATCCGAAGCAAGTCTGGTAGTGTCCATCCCTAGATGCATCATCCATGCCTGTTTGTTCCGGGTAGGGCTTATTGTTTCTTGGGAATGGACCTGCTCCAAAAACTTTATCCTGGTCTCTCTTCCGCAAAATGTACGTCAGATCCAGCATCCTAAGCAAGTCTGTTAGTGTCCATCCCTAGATGCATCATCCATGCTAGTTTGGTCTGGGTAGAGCTTATAGTTCATTTTGAATGGAACTGAATTAAAATGAACAATTCCTCCATATTTTTGAAAAGTTTTTTAAATGCAGTCTTTGTTTTTATAAGAGATCTGTTTGACATTGAAGGAAAAAGCCTTGAGTACCTTAATAATCTAAATGTACAAACTAATTTTGTAGAATATACAGGTCTTAAAATAGCTGTTACAAAGCAATTGAAAAGTATTGATATTGAAAAAAGAGAAGAAAGTGGACTTTTTATCTCAAATTCAATTTACATAAATTGTTGAAGAGATATGCAAATATACTCATTAAGAAGAAAAAGCAAACAATTAAGGCACTAAAAAATGGGAAAATCATTGGCGTCGGATGCAAATTGAAAGGGGGGGGGGCTATGTCCATTTCTCAAACATGAAAATCCTATTTTGTTAGGGTTAGGTTCAAAACTTCACAACCAAATTTTTTTTCCAAACACCACCGTTTTCCCTATTTTTAACCTATACTGCGACGTGCCTGTTGAAAGTGTGGGGGGTCTAAACCTATGAAGCAATGTTCAATCTCTATACTAAGTATATATTTGGGAAAGCCCCCCCCCCCCCCCCCCGATTCCGACGCCTATGAAAATATGGAATATCTTTAGGCGAGTTAGAATGGAACAAAATATATGAACAACCATTTAAAGTCACAAAAGAATCAACATTTCACTGGATGCAATTTCAAATCCTGCACAGGATTGTTCAACAAATAAATACCTTTATAAACTTAAACTAAATGATTCACCCGTTTGCTCATCTTGTAAACAGGAAATTGAAACAATTGAACATCTATTTTTTGAGTGTTTCTGTTTTTAAAAAAAATATGGTGTCATATTGAGGAGTGGTTTAATTTTTTTTTTATTATTATTATTAATTTTGATAGAAATGATATAATGTTTGGGAAATTCAACAATAAAAACATGTTTAGATTCCAAATTATAATAATACTTACTGTTAAGCAATTTATTTTTGCCAGAAGTTTTAAGAATATGCCTATATCAAGTATCGCAATGCTAGAAAAAAAATATTGTAGATAGAATACTAGTTGAAAAAGCTATACTTTTAAGAAATTGTGAATTTTCAGAATATAAAAAGGACTGGAAAATTATTTCTGATATTCTATAATGTATTTAGTTCTCCGAATTTATACTCAAATGTACAAATATGGTAAAATACTGAATACCGTCCCCCCAACTTCATTTTTTATGTTTAGCTTTCTTCACCCCCCCCCCCCTTTGTTTACGTCTTTGTATATTAAGCTAAATTATTTAATATGATTTACATGGGAGAATAACTTAAAGCATGTATTGAATGTAAACAAAGAAGTCGGTTCACTTTATGCATAAAAGGGCCCTGTAGATATACCAATTAATTGACCAAAACTTGATATTCTATTTGAAGCATTAAAATAGAATAGAGACTTGGTGCTTTCATATCCTATTAAAAAATTTCTCCTCAAAGTCCATTTTTTGGAGAACGGGCTTTATGAAATTGCAATGTTCTTGAATTTTTAGGTAAACAGGTATAATTGACTACTTTCAGGGAAGAAAAATAATATGAGTGCACCCTCTGATCTAAAAAATAAAACATGTCCATGAATCCTCAGAAACAGTTCTATCATTTACTAGTTGCATATTTTAGATCAGAAGTTGCGCTCTACATTAAATTTCAAAAAATAAAAAATTGGCCGATTTTGTAGACTTTTTCGGAATATGAGGAAATTGACGCATTTCATGACGTCATTTAAGAAATGAATTTAATTTTTGAAGATTCATGAGGTTATGAACTATGACGCTTCACGTCGGCATATTTCATGAAGCGCATTAGCGGTTCATGATAAATATGCTGGCGTGAAGGGTTGTAGTTCATATACCTTATGAATCTTCAAAACATTAAATTCATTTCTTATATTTACATTATTTTTCTGATGACTTACGATAAATTTACGCCGTTCAACTGCTATTTTTAAAACAAAACAGTGTGCACTATATTTTTTGATTTTTTAACGTCAAGAGCGGTATTATGACGTAACAATGGAGATATTCATGCTTATTCGTGATACATACCTGATGTAGTTCATGAGAAAATATACTGCATTTTATTTTGTAAAGAATCATAGGGGAAATTTATTGGAAATGTAAATATAATGCATTGACTAGCCAGAAAATGACGTCATTTTTCATAGGATCGCAGTCACCAAAGATCTAAGTGATATTTTAATGCATTGTTAACTAAATCTATGCAGTTTCAGTTTTTCAGAAATTTACGGGGCCAAATAAGGCGAAAGTGAACCTTGTTCTTTAATGTACAGTCTGTAAATGTGAAAGCAAAAATAAATTGTATGAATTATAAAAAAAAAAATCTGGAATTTTCAGTGGATTCCGTGGGCTGGAAATGAGGGGATTGCATGGATACAGAATTTGGTTATAAGCTGGTCGTCAAAGGGTTGTGTCTCCAAACCAAACCAGATTATAAAATAATTTGCATTCCTTTTTTGAAATCAACCAATGAGAGGCGAGAATACAAGAATACAAACAAAATTAAATTATCAAAGCTAACGAAAATCAAGTGTGTAGTGCTTATCACTAAAAAAAATCTCAAAATTCTAATATACATTTTATCATTAAACCACTGTATATCTAGAACAGTTTTTTAAGACATTATAGCATTTTCAGTAATGAATATATTTAAAAGCCTGTTTATAAAATACATGGCTTTATTGTGTGATTGAATAGCTCATAAATCCCTGCCTGGCTGAGATCCAACAATGTGGAAAAAATACATCACAACTGCACATGAAATACCGGATGAACATTATTCATAAATTTTCGTGGGGATTATTTTTCATTGTTTTTGAGGTGTGAAGAGTCTCACAAATTCATGGCCACCAGGAAATGTGAAATGTGACATACATGATTTATCAAGGCTGTTTTTACTACCGGTTAACGGTAACTTTCCCCTTTTGGAAAAGGTGCAAAAATCCCCCATTTTCAGATAGAAAATTCCCAGATTAAACGGATAATATTTTAAACATCGTTCTAAAATTTTCTATTTTTGTCAGATTGAAATTTAACAGCATATGCTAATTTGCCCATGGGGATCTGGGTTAGAATAGGTCCTCAGTACCCCCTTGCTTGTCGTAAAAGGCGACTAAATGGGACGGTCCTTCGGATGAGACCGTATAAACCGAAGCCCCGTGTCACAGCAGGTGTGGCACGATAAAAATCCCTCCCTGCTCAATGGCAGTACGTGCCGAGCATAGGCCTAAATTTGGAGCCCTTCACCGGCAATGGTGACGTCTCCATATGAGTGAAATATTCTGGAGAGGGACGTTAAAAAAAATAAAATCAATCAATCATATCCTAATTTACCATCCTAGTCATTCAAACGCTTTTAGAATAAAGAAAAGATTATTCAAGCTTATATTTGATATTGATAGGTAAACATGTGCCATGTCCATGACGTATGCGACTGCAG